CCCCGGAGCGGGCGCTGTCCCACAGCCAAAAAAGAGAACCCTCAAGCTCAGGCTGAACAATGGCTGAGCTTAAATAACTTTATTGCTCTTATGTTTTCCTTTATTGTACATCAAGTTCTTTTTCATAGTTGTACTGAAATTACGTTTCATGTATTCTGTTTTCATTTGACTAATAATAAATCCTTTTGATTCAAGAGCTTCTCTCAACCTTTTTCCTTCAGAAATTATCCCTTTCCTAGAGTCATCATTTTATACTATGTTATTAGCAAACAACACAGATAATACACACACATTCCTATAGCCCAATGTTCTTTTTCATTATTCCTTTTCAATTGCAATAACGCTAACACTGTCATATAATTAAGAAGTATTCACGAAGTCAACTAGTAATAACTCTCTAATAGTTTGAGTTATGTGCCGCCCCTAGACTGATAATGTTTAATGTTTCTGCAGATATCAGAGCCAAAATTTTGGAAATTTTCAGCTCCAGATATTTTCATTGGAAGTGCTAAGAGAGTCTGTGTATCCTTGAAACATTTGATTAGCAATACTATGCTGCATTTTCAAAATTTGAAAGTATAGTCACACTCCAGATCTCCTTTATGGCAAATGGATGACTTTAATTGTTTTTTTAGCATCTGCCACCAAGGCAACGTAATTCCATTGCAGATCTTCACTTACATCTGCATGTTGAGTTACTTCTGCACATATGGAAGTTGGATACACAACTTGGTTGCATAAGGTTAAATTTGCTCAATCAGGTCTAGTTGCTAACTGTTATGGTTGGAAGGGCCATTCTTGCTATATATTCTTTTGACTAAGAAATTCCCTTTTCCTTCTATATAGTAGACATTAGGTTTTACAGCAAGCTCTTAAAGTTCTGGTTTATTCTTTTGTGGAGTTCTCAACTCTTACTCATGTAGTCATGTGCCCAAGCCTACCTGCTTCTGATGGGAAAGACTTGACTGTCAATGATATTGATGGCGGTGGCTGCTTCTTGGACCCATTTAACAAAAGTCATCTGGGGCTGTTTTTTTTCTTGAGGGTTTTTATGCATCATAGACAACTTTTAGGTGGCTGTCATTTCAATGTTAATAATTCATTACCTTCTTTGGATATTCCATGGTGAAATATTTCCAAACCATCCATTTGAAAGGTACTGCTGAAATTAGCTGGTGACTATTTGTTTTATTTGATTAGCTGAGTCATAGATTGTTGGTTCCTTAATAACTTCATCAGCTTTGGAAATCTGACTAATTTGCAGTATCTCTGTGAAAATGGTCGAATACATAAGTTTGCGAACAGTATATGCTGGCCCGCTTTTATGATTCAGGAGTTTCATCAAGAGCACTTGGGCTCATCTGTGTCAGATTCCCAACTAGTCAACTTGTATGTCACAGAATGCAGTCCTGAAGTTACACCGATAGAACATCAAGATCGAATAGAGAGTTTTAATATAACTCAGTGGAATGATTACTGTATCAAAATAAGCCAAGCACTTTGTTCTTTCCTTCTTGCTCCTGAAGACCTTAAGTTTCACAATGACCAGGATTTGGTGGCTCAATGTTCCATGCCTGTCTCACCAGCCTATTGGGAACTATCTACAAGATGGATCATCAAGATTGTGTTCACTCTTTTCCCATGCATTAAAGCTTGCTCTGGCGAAAGGAAACTGCCAACCCATATCAGGTGATTCTCTTACTGATATCCCATGATATGTATTTTATTCTTAATTAAATAATAGTTTCCTCCTGGCTTTCTCCCTATGCCTAGGGAGCTTACTTATGTTGATCTCTTAAAGAATATATATTACCCATTACTTAGTGTGTTTATGTATCCATTTTCAGTTTATGTTGAACACTGATACAGTTTATATATCTGTTGCTACTAATTGCTTACGTACTAATTGCTTACCTAAAAACTGATTAGCCAAAGCTGTTAATTATTTATCCTTTCTTAGACAAAAAAAAGAAAAAGTTCTAATGGATTTGTTTTGTTTTTTGGGATATGGATTATCGAGTATAAAGACTTGATTGAAATGTTAACAAACAAAACTATATGAGGATATGTACTACATGCACTTTGCGCAAAGTCAGGATGTATGCGAGGCGCAAAGGGCACTGCTGCATTAGATGCAGGGCGCTTCGCCACGCACCCCGCATCGCAAGGTGCATGAGGCACACAGTAAGGCGCCTGTGGCCTTTGAAAACCCTGACCACCATCTGCATTTCAAAGCCCATAATGGGGGAAGATGAGGCTAGTCAAACAGCTAGTCCTATCTGGCACATAAACCTAGCAAGCATTTCATAACTCAGGAGTAGCACCCTCAAACTCCATTTCTCTCTTTTTATTTAATTTTTTTTCTCAAAGAAGGAATAATAGCAGAAACTTCACAGGACCAATTCTGTTCTTTCATTTATTTATTTATTTATGTGTTTTGAATTGGCATAAAAGATGCTAAAGCATAGAAACATGGTTTTGGGTTCTTTGCTCCTTATTTTTTAAAGGGGGGTGAAGGGTGTCAGGCGAATACTAGTTACAACAGACACTAACATGTATATTCTATTTTTTTGCAGCAAGATCTTAGCCTCCTGTGTAAGCTTTTTTTTGGCCTCCAAGTATAAGGAGATAATTTGGGTCTCTCTTAAGAAATGTGCTTTCCACTGCACATATTCACCTGTTGGTCACATATTCACCCTCCTTTTACTAAATGTGGATTCTCTCCATGAATATAAATGAGTGTTCACGATTCAGATTCTAAATATTATCCCATGGCATTATGCTTATGATTTTAGTTAAGCGGGATGCTTTATCTTTTTCGTAGCAAGTCTTTATTATCTGTATCCTATATTCCTATCCTCCAGTGATTATGGAAACTGAGAATGTGAAATTCCTCAAAGATTGTTATGTTAGTGATAGGTAAAACAATTGATTTGTAGAATTATGTTAATAGAGATTCTACATGGAAGTTATTGCAGTGTGGATAAACCTATGTCATCCTAGATCGAGGCCCTTGCAGAGTAAGAGCTACTAGTACCTATATCTAAGCCACTCCATCAGGAGTTACCATAATGGCATTACCACCCCCAACTACCTATGTCTAATCAAGAAACTTCTTAGTAAAGATTTATGATGATAAGGTCCAGTATTTCCTTGACTATTCAGTTTATTTTCGAAAGTTCAATAACGAGTCTGGAGATATAAATGATCATGTTATCTCTTTAAAATCATGAAGATGAAAATGCCTCATGTTGAATGCTATGAAAGAATAGCTTGAGTCAGATGTGAAAAGAAGAATGCAGAGAGGGAGGGAGGGCATTCGCTGCCGTAACTTCATAGTTCACAATGCGAAGTAAAATTCAACAGTCTGAATAAGTTAAGTTCTGCCATGGAGTTTCTTGTAGATATGAGAGCAAGTGAAAGACACTTGTGATTTCAATCCATTTGTTTCTTATATCTAACTCTTTCCGTCTTTTAAAATGTTTACTGATTATTTTGACACAGGATTTTAGCCAACACTTTGCAACATTACATCTTATGCACATTCAGAAAGGTTCTTGTTTCTGCATCCGTTCTACTTAAAGTTTTTAGGGAAGAGGAAATTTGGGAGCTAATATTCTCGGAGAAGTTCTTTTACTTTCGTCAACCATCAGAAGAAGTTCTATTGGATATTGGAGATCATTCTGAGGGACTGAAGACACATGATCTATTTTCTGGCTCTGGGAGCACCAAGGATCATGCAAAACCTTCAGGAGTTGATGTTCTTCAAGTGGAAGCAATCTCCTTCTTGGAATTTGCTGCTACACTTAAAGGAAATACAAATAACTTGGTAAAGTTAGAATCTTGTTCTTTCATGCCTATTGCAGGTCTTTATATTAGATAAATATCAAGTGGACAGAGATTATAATCTGCCGCCTTTTAGTGACATATAATAAACATGAAATGTATCTATGTGCATGTATGATCTGGGAATCATGCTTGGTCGCCTCTTAGTGACATCGATATAATAAACATGAATTTTATCTTAACATTTTTATGGTCTACACTCTACAGGGAATCATGCTTTATCAAGACCTTGCTCTTGCTTTTATCAGAATTGCAGAAAGATAAATTACTCTTCTAAACATCGTGAATTATTCACGCAAAAGCCTTAATTTGCCTTATGGTGCCAGATCTGTGCCAAAACATTGATTCTGACAAATACATGCAAACTTAAAATTTTGACATCTATTTCGAAATCTTAATATTTCTTTAAATAGAAGAAGAAGCAAGGGATTAAAGTACTTAGTAAACTCCAGCTGTTACCCAAGATTTAACATAATAAGAACACGACAATTTATAATGTGAGTTCTCCTAAATATTCTTAACATTGCTTCAGATGTAAATGAGTCTTCATGCAAAGCACATTGATGATCACCATTTAGTAGGATAATATTTGTGGGAACAATTGTAACATGACACTACTAGATTCTGAAACCGGTTTATTGCCTCTCCTGTTTTGTTGTCTTTTTTGTAAGTATCATTTAATGTGCTATACACTTACTGAAGACTTCATGTGGAGCTTACAAGCAACTGATTTTATATTTGAAAGCAAAATAATCTGCTCTGTCACTCTTTTTTTCTCAAAGTCTCCAGTCTCGTACAAAAAAATCGATCCAAATGGCTAACCCCTCATGGTTAATTAGTTCACTTACGAGCAGTTGATCAATGCAGGGCCTACTTTCAAATGTAAACACCTAGTAGAATATGTCATTTAGGACATAAGTGCACAGTTTAAATAATTTACTGCTTCATTGTGTTCTGTTATAGGACAATATGCTGAAGGATATGCTCTGGTTCATCTGTTGTAGACAGAGTTATGACACAAGTATCTGTAACATATTACAGTGGTTCACGAGAGTAATACACTGCAAGAGATAGGTACGATATGGTAGCGAATCGGGGGAGGGGGTGTAAATAAAATAATTATGATCTAGAATATTCTCATAAATGTAAGTTTCCTGTTTGACAAGACTAATATAACTTCTTAAGTTCTTAAGAGCTAGGTCTAAGTAGGAAGTTTGAAGGGACTTTATGATGTTCTGGGTGCTCGAAAAGCTTTGTCCTGCTTCCAATTCATGAATTTCATATGATTTAAATTGTTAGCTGACCAGTATTCCAAGCATTAGATGTTGAGATTCGAGAAAAACATTCCTCTGGCTGCTTCAAGTATCTTCCACTGGGAAATACTAGCATCAATCTTGTTGTCCAAGTGATACTGATACTTTTTTAGCTGATCCTTTAAGCGATCAGGTTGGAAATAAATATTTAAGTTACTTTCTATGAAAGGTTTGATAAATAGTTTCTGTTCTATATTGTATAGCAGCAAAAAAAGCTTCACAAAAAAATGGATACTCTTTGAGTCTGGTGCTCTTTAGTCTTTAGATATTCACCTAAAAGCATATGATGCCACAATGTTTGCTTTTGGATTTTGTAACAATAACACTGACACATTCGGAAAAAAAAGATCTCTGCATGGCTGTAGGCCTCCATAAAATCGGTCTCTATTTCAATTTAAAAGAAGTTTAATTTGTGTTGGTTCAATCTTGTCTTGATGGTATGTAGTAAATCTAGGTAAATATAATCTATATAGTATATAGCAATCAGATTAGTCTGCTTTACCCAATAAGCTATCAGCTTACCTTGTGGATTAGCATTGACGTTCAGTCTCCAAACATGCCTCAATTTTGTCTAAAAGACTCATGCTAGATTAGGTCTCATTCCCTCTATCAAGGCTAGAGGCTGGTATTTTTTTTAAGTATGGTAAATTGGCAATACACATTTAATTATAACCTGACTATGCTTTTCTTCAGATAATAGCATCACACATTTTGTCTGAACTACATCTGTATTCTGTCCTATATTTAACGAATACCTTGTCATTAAGCACTTCATGTCCTTTTTATATTGATCATTATCTTAGCTTCTGATTTTCTTTAGTTTTTTGTTTGTCTTTCGTTTTGGCAGCCAGAATGCTCTGTACTGTTGGATACTCTAGAGCAATGTATTTGTACCCCTGAGATTGCCAAAATATTTTTGAAAAGCCTGCATAGGATACTCCAGCTCTCAGTTGCACAGACTCTTTCTTCTTTTAGGTCTTTAGATGCAATTGCTCGGGTGCTCAAGGTGGCATGTATTCAGGTTCAATTATTTAGAAAGAAAAATGTTTTACCTCATTCTGAAGATCTTACTGGAGAATGTTCTAAACTTAATAGCATTAAGTTGGCTGATACTTTGGAGACCACTAATAATGGGTTTAAATGTGTGGAATTCTCGATGGAGCTCTTTAATGAATATCTCATATTGGAGGAGAATGCCAAAAGTTTGATCCTACAGAATTCCACCTGTATTGATTGCTTGTTTGATCTCTTTTGGGAAGAAAGTATCCGAACACGTGTGTTGGAGCATGTTCTCTCATTACTCAAGGTACACACTCAGTTTACTTTCTTTTTTTTATGTATCTATTTATGTATTTGCTCACGATGTTTGGTAACGTGTATTTTCAGTTGCTGCCACAGCTCCCTGAGGATCAAATGGCAAAGTTACATTTGTGCTCTAAATTCTTAGAAACCTTTACCCGAGCGAAGGAAAGGGAGAAATTTTTTGCTGAATTGTCAATTGATCTGCTGGTTATCATCAGAGAAGTCATTTTGATTGATCAAGTGGTAGGGACCAATATATATATAACTTTGATTTTGAATATGTTGATCAAATTGCTGGTATATTTTCTGGTTAACTTCGTTACATGTCTCCAGTATTATCAGAATTTGTTTCGTGATGGAGAGTGCTTCCTTCACATTGTATCTCTATTAAATGGGACATTTGATGAGAGGATTGGTGAGCAGTTGGTCCTGAATGTTCTGCAGACATTAACCATGCTGCTTAGGGGAAACAATGACGCAAAGGTAATTTTTAATCTTTTGTTTTATAAAAGTTTATGTCTTACTACAAGTTTTGTAGCGAGCAATAACTTCAACTTTTCTAGATTCTATGTGAGTCCGAGGGAGTCAATTATACATTTCATGGAAGATTTTATTTTTTGTCGCATGTTGAAAAACCTCTGCAAGGGTTTCTCGAAGTCATATTTCTTGTTGATGCTTATATCTTGTGTATCCACTCTTATCATAAAGCTGGCTTCTGGGCATTTGGATCTATAATACAACACGGCATGTTACCTTGCAAATCTAGGCTTTGCTTGACTTGTCCTTACATGTGGACGAAAGTATACGAAAGTATAATGATGCTTGCAGTGCCTGTTATCTAAAAGGTTTACAGTTAATTGCTTTTAGCTGTGAAGAATGAATAGGACAGGGGATATGGTTATATGATAAGATGTGGATATGGTATTATGAGAAAGTTTAAATTTTTTAGAAAGTAGGACACAAGCACAACATAGATAGAAAAAAAAGGGAGGGAGGTAATTGTGGTAAAATTGAAGGGTACTGGTTTGTCATGAATGCAGCAATAACGAAATTATATATGTGCATGGCAATTACTTATGTAGAGGTATATTTTTTAAATCCATAAAGTGTTTGAATTTATAATTGCAATGCATCTAAATATTAAATAGAAATATTAATACATTAATCATACATTCAGTTGTTAACTTTTAGCATGTATGTCTAAGATATGTCATGTCTATCTGTGATAGATTGCAAAATTTAGGATGTGTCAAATGATTTTCAGATAGTTACTGTCAAGTATCACAATGTCCAATCATCTTATAAATATTTTATATACATATCTCTCCTCTTCCAAATGCTGCACAGATTTTTAGTATATGGTATCTAGAATTGCTAAAGATAGGTTGCTTGGTGTCATTGGCAAACTGCTGGCTGGTTCTTAGGATGCAAAAAACTGAAAGTCTTGTAGCCAAACTGGCGATTCTTGATATCAGCTGTTAGTATATGATTATGAACCCTGTATAACTAGAACTCTTCCTCATTTCCATTTAATTTATGTAGCCTCCTTAGACTATATTCTAACGGCTTCCCATCAGCTTTCGCTGTTAGTATATGATTATGAACCCTGTATAACTAGAACTCTTCCTCATTTCCAGTTAATTGCTTTCGCTGATTGCTAACCCTTAGACTATATTCTAACGGCTAATTAATTTATTTCTCCTTAAACTATACCTACTAACTTTCTTTTAGGTGCCATTATCAATCCAGCTATTTAACTATTGTAGACAGCTGATTATGAATCCCATCATCTGTATCCTATGAAGCACCGACACTTCAAAACCGTCGGCGAGTCGGTCTCCGACGCGCGTCGGACACGCGGTCAACGGCGCCGACACGGGTCAACGCTTCGACTCGCCGTAGACACGGGCCGGACACGCGATTTCTCTCCCGACACGGCTGAGAATGAAACCCCAAAAATAAGATCTGAAACCAAAACCCGAAACCCAAACTCAAACTTGAAACCCTAACCCTAGCCGTCACTCGTCAGCTCTCAAACCCAAACTTACCCGAAGAACAGCCGCCAGCTCTCTCTCTCATCCTCGTCGTCGTCGATCATCCCTGTCAGCTTCGTCATCGTCGATCATCCCCGTCAGCTTCGTCATCGTCGATCATCCAAGGTCAGTCTCTCCGGTCTCTCTCTCTCTCAGTCGCTCTCTCTCTCTCTATCTCCGATCGATCTCTCTTTCTCTCTTATCCCTTTCCCTCTCTGGTTCTCTCTTTCTCTCTCTCTCTTATCTCTTTCTCTCCCTCTTTTATCTCTTTCTCTCTCTCTCTCTCACCACACAAAACCCCCGCGAACTTTCCACTTCACAAAAAGATCCCCCGCGAACTTTCCACTACATAAAACAAATCACTGTTCTCCCTCTCTCTCTCAAGAATCACACACTCCCACAAATTTCAAAGTCCCGCTTCCCCCCGCCACGATAATTTAATATTTTAAAATTGTTAATTTTAGTTTACTGTTTTACTGTTGAGTGTTACTAGAGATAGCTACTTCCGTTCACTGTTAGGTGCTAATTGGGTGGTATTCTCGTTTACTGTTGACTGCTATTTGGGTTAGTGATTCTTTTACTGTTGTGATTTTTTTTACTGTTTTGCTGCTGTGAGTTAATTAGGTTGATAATTTATGTTTGCTGCTGTGAGTTACATAATTCTTTTACTGTTGTAATTTTTTTACTGTTTTGCTGCTGTGAGTTAATTAGGGTGATAATTTCTGTTTGCTGCTGTGAGTTACATAACTTATACTTGTCATTGATTATACAAGCCAATGTTACATAATAATACAACATAAAAATTGATCTATTTTTCTATATGTTCATCTTTTCTTTCTTGTCTTCTTTAACATTATTGTCTTTAATTCTCCAAGAGATCATTGTCATCCCGACATCTTAATTCACACCTGCAACACACACACTTTCCATTAGTTTCTTATTTATAATCCTCACTTTACATAACAAAAAATATGAAAATGTAATAGGATAATTCAATATTGATCTATATATAATAATAATATTAAAAAATCTAGCCGTGTCGTCGTGTCCTATTTTTTTGGGTTTTGTCGTGTCTGTGTCCGTGTCCGTGTCGCTGTGTCCGTGTCTGTGCTTCATAGTCTGTATCTACAGAAGTACTATTTGGCCAACTAGTAGATTGAAAACCACAAACACAACTGAACTGATCATATAACATTGTAATATCAAGGTTAGTGTATGAATTGTCTCATGTCACCCAGTTGCATACAAAGCCGTTGTTGACGCAGATTATCCTAGAGACATGCCTGAGTAATTGCAAATATATATCCATATTAGCTCATCTTTGTACTTGACTCGTTGCAGGTTACGTTTAGAGCTCTTGTGGGTGCTGGTTACCAAACTCTGCAGAGTCTTCTCTTGGATTTTTGCAAGTGGCAACCAAGCGAGGGACTTCTGAATGCTCTTCTCGACATGCTTGTGGATGGAAATTTTAACCTTAAAGAAAATTATGTAATAAAGGTCAGACAATTAAGATAACTTTGATAATGATGAAGCCTTTCTAATTTATTTTAGGCTTTTCTCTGATAACTTTTGATGTGCTGCCCTTTTCTTCCTTATAGTGGTTATGATAGATAACTGAAGAAAAGAATTTTGTAATAATCTTCCTGATATTGGGTCATTTCTTTATTTTGTTTTCTGGGACAGAATGAAGATGTGATTTTACTCTTCTTTAACATCCTGCAAAAGGTCAGGCTGCAATCACGCTCTTACCTTTACCTTTTTCCCTCTTCTTTCTTAATCTTTTAAGCTTAATAATAATTGTTGTATAATCTATAAATTCTGGTTGGCAGAGCAGTGTGTTACTGCAGCAGTATGGGCTTGATGTTTTCCTGAATTTGCTGGATGAGTCCATCACCAATCGCATGTCATGTTCCAAAGCAGGAATACTTAGTTTTCTTCTTGATTGGTTTGCTGTAGAAGAAAATGATAGTACATTTGCAAAAATCTCACAGCTAATTCAAATTGTTGGAGGGCATAGCATATCTGGGAAGGACATTCGTAAAATTTTTACTCTTCTCCGAAGGGAGAGAATTGGATCAACTGAAAAACATAGTTCAATGCTTTTGACGAGTATGTGTTCTATGCTCAAGGAAAAAGGACCCGAGGCCTTTTTTGAGTTTAATGGCTGCAACTCTGTATGTCACTGCACATTTCTCTTGTGTCCTTTATATTACCTAACCTTCATTGTATTTTTACTGTGTTGTCCTGGCTCTAATACATAGTTTAGTGCTTTCTGAAATAACTGCGTTTAGTGCTTTCTGAAATAACTGCTAGGTTCATTGTTGTATAATTAGCCTAGTGGCATTGAGTAAATATTCTTCTACTTTGCTTTATATGGTTGTATTTGTTGGTCTGACATTAATGTCCTTTTTCAGGGGATTGTTCTAGAAAAGCCTGTACAATGGCCCTATAGTAAGGGATTTTCATTTTCTTGTTGGCTCAGGATAGGGGATTTCCCTGAGAATGGTATGATGGGCCTTTTTAGTTTTCTTGCGGATAGTGGAAGAGGGTGCTCGGCAGTGCTTGGAAAGGACAGGCTAATATTTGAGGTAGGTTTCTGCACATGATTTCACATCTTAGGATCTACAGTTGCATGTACATGAAATAAATGCCTAGATATAAAGAATTTTTGAAATATTCAGCTGGAGCTGGATCTTACTTAAAGTGATGTAAAATAGTTATTCATTCAGAAAATTTTAAATTCTTGAAGTTCGCAAAAGAGACAAAAATATTATAAGCTTAGCATATTAGGAATGGAAGTCTTAATTTAATTAGACATTTGAATTGTTTATTTTTTACTTTATTTATTTATTTCTTATTTTTTTTGGAGGGGGGCACATTTTATGTATGTTAAGAAGATTGATTGGTTAAATTTGTATATTCTTAAGAGAAATGTTGACTGAGGGTGCATAATTGAGAGGGGAGTGTTCATTGAGCATGTATATTTGGTAGTTGTAGGAGTCAACTATTCATTTGACGTTCCCTCCCAAGTCTGTTGGATGCATGAGTAAGCACCCATGAGCATAAGTGATGATTAACGTTAAAGAAGGGGAGGAATTAGATGATGATGCCACATGTGGGCATTATCCAATGAACCAATTATGATTCCACATCAGCACAATCACAAGTCATGATTTTACCTAAGATGTTGGTCTGGGAGAGATCCTTTTGTAACATTTTCTGAATCCAAAGGATTGAGCCAATTCTTGGATTAGAATCCTTATGGTTTTACCAAAAAATTTACATCCAAAGAAACCATTCCTCTGTATTTTGCGCATCTTCTGGGGAATGGAATGTGGACTAGAATCCTGAGGATTGCATCTACCCAAATTCGCCATTATGTATATTTCTACTTTAAGCACAGCACGTCTAAAAAGATCAGGTGTTGATTGTTTATTTTATTACTTGCTATTACTGCAGGAAACATTTCCATGATTTGTAGGATGCAGTATTAGTCAGATCTGCTCTTAAACTGAACATGTGGTGTTAATTAATTGGACAAATTTTGAAAACCGTCCTATTTACAAAAAATTTATCAAAACCGACCTATTCTAAAAAAATTTGTCAAAACCAACCTAGTTTCAGCTAGAATGGCTGAAACTGGGTCGGTTTTGACAAATAAAAGTCTGAAACTTCATGGGACTTGAAGTCCTGTGAAGTTTTGTTCTACTAAAAATTTTACGAGACTTGAAGTCTCGTGAAAGATTTGTCGCCCTTAATTAATGTTATTATAGGCTGCTAAACTTCACGGGACTTGAAGTCCTGTGAAGTTTTAGACTTTTTTTTTTCTCAAAACCGACCCAGTTTTTACCCTTTTTTTTCTCAAAACCGACCCAGTTTTTACCCGACGGCTGAAACTAGGTCGGTTTTGACAATTTTTTTTAGAATAGGTCGGTTTTGACAATTTTTTTTGTAAATAGGACAGTTTTCAAAATTTGTCCTAATTAATTTTATCACTGCTGCCACACCTGTTCCAAGTTAACTCATGAACATGACATTGAATTACGTATCTTTGCAGTCCATTAGCCAAAAGCGACAGTGCGTTTCGCTGGTTCTTAATCTTCAGCCCAGAAAGTGGCACTTCCTTTGCATAACTCACAGTATAGGCAGAGCATTTTCTGGTGGAAGTCTACTTAGATGTTATGTTGATGGAAATTTGATATCGTCTGAAAAATGCAGGTCAATTTGGTTCAGTGATTATCAATTCTTTTTTCTTTTTTTCCCTCCATATGTCATCATGTGACAGTAGTTGAAATTATTTTATTTCTATTATAACTTTAGGTATGCAAAAGTTAGTGATGTTTTGACACACTGTACAATCGCAACGGAGCAGAAACCTATATATGATGAGAGCTATCCATTCACTGTGGAAAAAGTATATCCTTTCACTGGACAAATTGGTCCAATCTATATGTTTGGCGATGCACTTTCTTCAGAGCAGATAAAGGGTGTTCGCTATCTTGGGCCAAGTTACATGTATTCATTTCTTGGTGATGAAGTTCCACTTGCTTCTGACAATTCACTCTATAGTGGAATTCTTGATACAAAAGACGGCCTCTCATCTAAGATCATTATTGGTCTAAATGCTCAGGTTTCATTTTATTCTTGTAGTAATTCCATCTTTATGGCATACTATCATAATTTTGTTGCTTATGAAATACTGCATATCCTTTTGTGCAGGCCAGTGATCGTAAATCCTTGTTTAATATCACATCAGCGCTTTATAGTTTTTCTGACAGGAGTTCATATGAAGCAGTAGTTATTGGTGGCACACAGCTCTGCTCTCGCCGCCTGCTGCAAGAAATTATCTATTGTGTTGGCGGTGTCTCAGTATTTTTTCCACTTTTGATACAGATAGATAAATCTGAAACAGACAGTGGACAGTATAAATATACATTGATTAAGTCAAGAATGAGAGAGAAACTTGCAGCTGAAGTTATTGAGCTTATAGCATCTGTCTTGGATGGAAATCTGTCAAATCAACAACAGATGCATCTTCTATCGGGGTTTTCCATCCTTGGATTTCTCTTTCAATCTATTCCTCCTCAACAATTAAATTTAGAGACTCTCTCATCTTTGAAAAACATGTTTGGCATCTTGACGAACTACGGTAAATACGCCAACTACTTTCCTTACATGCATTTAAAATTTTTAAGTAACATAATATTTTCGTGTTACGCAGGTGTATCTGATCTGCTAATTAAGGAGGCTATTTCGCGAGTTTACTTGAATCCACATATATGGGTATATGCAAATTATGAAGTGCAACGGGATCTTTATATGTTCCTCATTCAATATTTTGAAAATGATGGAAGCTTGTTGCCAACGGTATGTAACCTCCCACGGATTATTGATATCATTAGACAATTTTACTGGGATAAAGCGGAGTCTCGGTCTTCTATCGGGAGCAAGCCACTTTTGCATCCAATAACCAAAGAAGTTATCGGAGAGAGACCAAGACAAGAAGAAGTTCGTAAGATCCGTCTTCTTCTATTGAGTCTTGCAGAGATGGGTTTAAGGTATAGAGAAACATTTTTCATGGATAATAAGCATTTATATTTCATACTATCTAACACAGTAGATCATATCATTATCAGATGTTTGTCTCCATTTGTACTCTGCATTGTTATCCTCCTGATCTACTGGCTTTGACACTGAGGTACTTGGTCTGCAGGGAGAAGGTTTCACCTCCTGATATAAAGTCCCTAGTTGGTTTCCTTGAGAGGAGCCAGGATATGGTATGCATCGAGGATGTATTGCACATGGTTATCCGTGTTCTTTCCCAAAAGGAATTTCTGGCATCTTTCTTCGAGCAAGTTAATTTACATGGTGGCTGTCACTATTTCATTAATCTTCTTCAGAGGTATCTTGCCTAATACATTGTAGTTTAGGGTATGTAATTATACATTATTCTTTCTTTTGTTTATTTGAATAGTTAGCACACAAGTAACTAACGAGCCCTATCATTATGCATCTAGATTTGACCACTCTAGTTCTTTTAATTTATTTTCAAGTCCATACAGTTTGCCTAGTCAATAATAACCCATTTTAGCAATTGTCAACGAAGTGGCAAAAGAGGAAAATAAAAGAGAGAACAATAACAGCAAAGCTTTTCCTAAGGTTCGGTTCTTGAATATTATTCTTCCATTTAGTTATGTTATGGACTCCACTAAGTTAATCATGGTCATATTTTCGTAATTGCTTTCAAACTAGGTGACTCTTAGGATTACATGTAGCCCCCATTTCAGTAGTAATTTGAATCTTATCACTTCTCATTGGTGCATTTAGTAGTTCCATTCACATGGTCTAATCAGTTTTCTATCATCTTATTCTTAGTAGTAGAAATCTCTGACACCTATATGTGAACTTACTTCTTACCTCTTTGGCTTAGCATATATCGATACCTCCATCATAACATTCTCATGTTGTTGTACTTATTTTTTACACATGTTTCTAATGCCCAATGTTCTGATAATGAAGTCCTATTGGTGTTATGCCTGTTCTTTAGAATATTCTCTTCAATTTTGTTTGTGTGCGTGTATTAATCAAGGAGGAGGAGCTTGTCAAATTTATAATTCTTGTATTATTTTTTTAATCTATGGAGACGATCTGTGATATAAGCTGTTAGCTTTGCTACTCCTCAATATTCTTTTTGCAATTTTGTTTCATTGTATTAGCATTGTTCATGTTGGTCTCACTTTGTCAACTCAGGGAGTTAGAGCCTATCAGATTGCTCGGTTTGCAGTTTCTTGGTAAACTCTTAGTTGAGCTTCCCTCAGTGAAGAAAGAATTAAAGTTTTTTAATTTTTCAGTCGGACGTTCCAAATCTATTTCGGAAAATTTTAAGAAAGTGGGAAATTCAATGCCGCAACCTATTTTTTCTGCGATATCTGAAAGACTGTTTAAGTTTCCGTTATCAGATCATCTGTGTGCCACTCTATTTGATGTTCTACTTGGTGGTGCCAGTCCTAAACAGGTGAATGCATGATTTGTGTAAACTTATTTGCTTTAGCCATTTAGATTTACAAGTTTTGACTGTCATGACCAATATACTTCCAAATTTGCATGCAGGTCTTGCAGAAATCTACTCAGTCCGACAGGCAGAAAAATAAGAAAAACAATTCTCACTTTGTTCTCCCGCAAATCTTGTCGTGTATCTTCAAATTTTTGGAAAACTGCGATACTTCATCACGTGCTAAAGTTTTAGGAGATTTAGTTGATCTGCTTGAGTCAAATCCTTCAAATATTGAAGCTCTAATGGTATTTGATGAAATGACTTTCTTTGCATTCGACAATCTGAACTTTATTAGTAACTTCAATATTTGATTAGGAAAATGCTTGGACTTCCTGGTTAGTAACATCTGTGAAGCTTGATCTGGATATTTCAAATATCGAGGAACTAATACTTGTGCGGAAGCTGTACTGTATTGTTCTGTCTCACTGCTTGTATTCTGTCAAAGGTGGTTGGCAACAGTTAGAAGAGACCATAAACTTCCTTCTCCTGAACTATAAAAAGGTGTTGAACATCTCTTTACTATTTTAGGACAGCATTCATCTTTTTTTAGGCTTGTCATGTGATAAATCTATTCAATTTTTGTCTTCATAAACGCAGGGGGATGTACTTTATGCCAATATGCTCCGCGAAATCTTTGAAGATGTAATTGGTAGTCTCATTGAAGTATCTTCTGCTGAAAACATTTTTTTCACACAACCTTGTCGAGACAATACATTGTATCTTCTGAGACTTTTGGATGAGTTGCTAATTAGTGAAAGTGCTGATAAACTTCTGGTATTTGGATTTCACCTTATTCGGTCTTTTTAATGTACTGTAGAAAACCTCATCGAAATTTTTGCTATTTCTTGCTGCAGTTTCCTGGACTTGGCAATTATTCGGAATTCTCTTCCCATCGTCCGCATCAAGAAAGCCAAAAAGATATAACAGATACTGTAAATGAGATAGTGAATAATGAACTTGATGACCAACCTCCACGGTGAGCTATTGAGTTGTTCTGCTTAAATCCACATGTTATGAGGTCATGCATAATGAACTTGCACTTACTATCTAACATCGGATTTGTGAAACCTTTCCTCATAATCTTTTGTATTGATGAAGTCATACAACATCCTAAAGGGGGGTTATTCATTGGGATATTTGAGGGGATAATAGGATAATTTTGGGAATTCTATTTCATAGTGTCATTCATTGGGACAACGGAACAAGGATATTACCTTTTTGTGTTATTGGTTTTTTAGAACACTAGTGAGAGAATTTCACCACTTGGGATAAATTTACCCCACTCATATACAAAAATTTTATCCCAATAGTAAAAATTTACCCTATCATCCATATTGGAACAATTTTGTTCCACTTTGAAGGCAATTGGGATAATTTTCAAACCTTTTTGTATTACTTAACTAATACATGCTAATTATATTATAAATATATGACATGATATATAAAATATAAAGTAATAATATATTCAATATATTATATTATATTATCATGTAATAAAATAAAATATTATTATAGTTTAATTTATATGTATAATTTATTTTATGATATTTATTATATATTATTATGCAATATCACATATTATATTATATAATAGTACAACATATTTATTATAATATTATATAATATTTTAATAACATATATTATTATATAATATATTATATTAATTGTAGTTGATATTTTATTGTAGCAATTATTATTATAGTGTATTAATTAAATCAATATAATAATATAGTAAAATTAGATATTATATTAAATACATTGTTTATATATTATATCAGTTATTATATATATGACATACTATTATAATATAATATAATAATTACTAATATTAATAAAATATTATGATATAATATAATATAATACTATAGTTTGAAATAATATAATATATTATACTATAACATGATACCTTTTAATATATATTATTGTAATTATCATGTAATATATATATATATATTATATTTTAATTATAATATAATATTTTATAAAATATTACATTGAATAAAGTAAAATGTTATAATATTTTATACAGTACATTATATCCTATGATACTATATTATAATATATTAAATTAAATAATATATTATTAAAGTATTACATTAAATATATTGTTCATATATTATATCAATTATTATATAATGTAGCATACTAATATAATGTAATATAATATAATAATCAATAATATTAATTAGTAATTATAGTATAATATATTATATTTTTGTATAAATAAACTAATGTATTATATTAAATATTATATTATTAAAATATTATATTAAATATATTGATCTTATATTATATTAATTATTATATAGTATAGCATGCTAATATAATATAATATAATATAATATTAATTAATAACATTAATTAGTAATTATACTATTATAGTACGACATATTATATTTTAATTTAAAGTAAAATAATGTTTATATAATAATAATATACTAAATAATATATAACCAAATTGGATAAGTTAATGTAGAAGTAATTAATAGATAAAATTATATTTTAATAAGGTGTCACATCATCAATTATTCCACATAAATTGTCAAATCAAATGCTCAAATTGTCCCATTATCCCACTTATCTCACTTTACCCCAATCAAAATATCCCAAAGGGATAAAATTGTTCCATTGGAATAATTTTTCCACTTGGCCCCAATTTGTCCCAACCAATAACCCCCCAAAATTTGTCCCAACCAATAACCCCCCCTAAGCGTATGCAGGTGTACAAATCTGTACTAGCTAAAGAACAAAGTGAGGGTATCCAAGTGTGGAGGAATGAAGGGAAATTCCATTGCTTCCCTTTGTAATTGTTATGATATAAACCAATAAGTGTGTGGGTACTTAAGGAATTTGAAAAGGACAAGCATTAAATGTTCATGATATGTACACCTAAAATTTGAGTGTACTTTCTATCAAAATTTTGAATACCAAGATTTATTTAGGATATTAGATTGGATATATCATATATTCTCACACATTATATTAGATAATTACACTTAGAATTACACACTAAATAATGTCACCCAGGCTGTAGCTTATCATAGAATAAGGGGTGATATTTAGCATATCTATATTATGTAGATTTTCATTTTTTCCCCTATAAATATTACAATTATTTATTACTTTTAACTGAAAATGTAAATATCCTCATGTCAAAGTAAGACATTCTAAATTCTGCAACTAATTTTTTGTTGCATTAAGATTAATTGTCAGTTAACTTACTATATAATAATCTATCATATAGTTTCTACACCGAAATCTATTATAGACCTTAGTAAATCATATATAACATAATTAACATGTAGGAGAAAGATTTATTTGAATAGAAGAATAATCATAATTGCACGTGCATTTGCATGTGCCGATAGGCTAGATAGTTTGTAATAGTCATTGTACCATGTTTGACAAGTACGGATTTTAAGATTCTTGTTCCATAGAAATAAGGTGCATATGAGTTGTGTACTGTGGGTTATAAATTCATGCCTCTTTTTGTGGAAAATCTTAGTGCCTGCTGGATGCATGTATTGACGGAGGCGGTAGCTAAACATGTTGCCGGTATTAAATTTTAAACAGGGAGATTGTTTAAGGCCTTGGTCTGAGAGGACTAAGCCTCAGTTTACTATCTAACTTTAAAGGAGAAAGTTATGGTCTAACCTTCTTTGGGAACTTGTTACATGGAGACAGGTCCTAGCATGTGACGGTAAAATTGTAAAAGGTAGGGTACATGACATGGCTATTTAGTGTGGCCTAAGTTGCATGAAAACGGGTATAGGTACTGGTTCGAGTACGGGTGTGGGTACGGGACAAGGCAAAATTGAAGATTGTAGGGTGCGGGGACACGGCTAAATATGTATATTGAGATTAATAATTTACATGAGATTATCGTTGTTTTAAATTCATATGTTGATTATTATAAATTGGAAGCTACTCAGATTTGAACTAGACACTCAAAATGGCCCTTTAAAATCACAGTTTTGAACTTAGATATGGGATGACACGAACTCAAACTATGTCTAACGAGTTTCAAGAAATGGATGTTAGCATTGTGAAGTGTAAGATATACATTCAAGAAGTGTTTGACAAGTGTTTTAAATTAAAACATATATCATATGATTGGGCGCATGTCTGAATAAATGTATGCATATATCCAAGGAGTGTCCATGAAGTTTGGGTTCTGATCAGTGTCGGGTACAGGTACAGCTTCAAGCTTCATGATAGAAGTACCCGGGTAGCATAGAGTGTGGCTATGTCTCTGTGTGTGTACACACGCACATACATACGAAAAATATGACATCCAAGAGAACACCTTTGAAATGTATAATTTAGATGGAATCAATATCTTTTTTCCATCTATTAATTATCTTGAGCACATACAAATGAATGACCAGTAAATATAAAAATTATCAGCATAGCTCTAAATTTCAATAGCTGATCCCAAAAATCTGGAATATTGGCTTTGTTGTTGTTGTTGCTGTCACTGCTGTTGATGAGGGATTCCTGCCCTAAATTTAGGAAAATATCTTGAAGTCTAATCTGATTACCTGATAATGCTTATTGCATCATCTCTCAACATATGTTATTAGCAAAATGTCCTATTTACATTGTGAGAACAAAGCAACTTGTGATATCTTGCTGTGCCTCCCTATTCCCAACGCTTGGATGCTTATTAATGAAACCATTGTTTAGTGTTTTACGTAATGTGTTCATTGTGTTATAATTTTCTTATTCTTACTGATGTTTTCCTTATATTTTTGCATGCTCTTTTTCTGTCTCTTTTCATGCTTAAATAGTCTGAGTTCATATAATTTGCAGAATTCCTTGGAGTTCTAAGTATGCCCATGCGGATGGCGGTATGCTGGAGGATGAATGGTGGTCAGTATATGATAAAACATGGGTTATTATCATTGAAATGAGTGGAAAAGGCCCAGGCAAGGTATTACCTAAAAGTTTGGCTGCACCATCTCTTAGCCAGAGAGCTCGTGGTTTGGTAGAATCATTGAATATTCCTGCCGCTGAAATGGCTGCTGTGGTTGTAGCTGGAGGAATAGGCATAGGTAGTGCATTAAGTGGGAAGACGAATAAATCTATTGATAAAGCTATGTTGTTAAGAGGAGAGAAGTTCCCCCGAATTGTATTCCATCTTGTAACTCTCTACCTCCGCAAAGCCAGTTTGGAAAAGGCATCAAGATGTGTCCAACAGTTCATTTTGCTTCTCCCTTCTCTTCTTACTGCTGATGATGATCAAAGCAAGAACAGGCTGCAGTATTTTATTTGGTAGTGTTTATTAATCCAATTTCAAGATATTTCCTCAAAGTTGGAACAGACTATTTTCTAAGTGGGAAGATCTTACTTATGTGAAATCTTCTGTTTGTTTCATGATGGACAGGTTTTTACTAACAGTGAGATCACAGTATGGAATGCTTGATGATGGTGCTCGTTTTCATGTTATATCACACCTGATCCTTGAAACATTGAACTTTGGAAAGTCTATGCTTGTCAGTAGTATCTTGGGTAGGGAAGAGTCATTTGAAGTCAGCAGCAATGCGATGGATGCAGGATCCATTTTTAATCTAATCCAGAATGATCGGGTTCTTGCTGCAGTGAGTCTTAAGTTTTCGAGCTCCATAAATCTGATCAACTATTTATATTAACATTTTCTGCTATCTAAATGGAGTGTAAGATAAGCCACTAAAACTTGCCTTTCTTTTTGCATGAAAAATCCTAAATTTCCTTAATTAACCAGTATTTATCGGTTATTATTCTTTTCAAATTTGAAAACCAAGGTTGCAAGAAAGCAGGCCATCTGTCGTATCTTGCTTGCACAGTTATACGGAACTAATTCTGCTTCATAGCTACTCCTGTATAATTTCTCACTTGGATCAACCACTTGGATCAATTTTTAACATTATCTGTTTAAATGCTTTGCATTGGTGTCAGGTTGTTGATGAAGCAAAATACGTGAAGGCTACAAAAGCTGACCGCTTAAAGCAAACACAGGATCTTCATGTTAAATTGGAGGAATATTCTTCTTTAGAGCATAATCACTGGAAGGCCTTTGAAGAAGAGACTCAGTGTAGCATTAATGCGGTTCTTTTATCAGATGACAATAGAAGAACTGCTTTTCAGCTTGCCTATGATGAGGACCAACAGATGATTGCTGTAAGATGGAGCTGTCTTGATTTGGCTTTCTGCATTTACTTTATATATAGAATTCTTTCATGCTGGTTGGCATGGATATAAGATTTAACAGTTATGTATGGCTTCTCACCAGGAGAAATGGATTCGTATCTTCCGTGCTTTAGTTGATGAGAGAGGGCCATGGTCTGCTAATCCTTTCCCAAATAGCATAAAGACACACTGGAAACTTGATAAGACGGAAGATTCTTGGCGGCGTAGAATAAAACTAAAGCGTAACTATAAATTTGATGAAAGGCTTTGTCACCCTCCAGTGAACAAGTCATCCAGTGAAACCAGCCATATGGCAAGTGCAAGCCACATGGGTGCTGGGGGCAGTGTTCCTGAGCAAATGAAACGTTTTCTTTTGAAAGGAGTGCGTGGAATACTCGAAGAAATGAGCTCAGAAATTGGTGAAGACGCTAGTGACTTAACTCCAGAAACTGAATCTATCCTTAGTGATTCCTCTGAGAGCCAGAATTCCAACCATATAAAAGACAGCCCTGATCACTTGGAAACTGTTCAGGACAGGAATGAGATTCCCTCTAGTATTATAGAGGGTGAAACAAGTGAGGTATGCAATACCTAATATGTTGCATAATGTTGTCACATCTGATCATAATTAATTATAATTTTTATGTTTCAGGTTGACTTGTCACGTCCTTGTGTGCTTGTGAATCCGAAGCGGAAGTTAGCAGGTCATTTAACTGTCAAGAAGAATGTTATGCACTTCTTTGGTGAGTTTTTAGTAGAAGGTACAGGAGGATCGTCTGTATTTACTAATTTTCCAGACACAAACAGCTCTGATGCTAAAAAATTGGATCAAGTGGGTGTAACACAAAAGCAAATCTCCCATAAAGGGCAATTAAATATTAATCCCACTCAAGGGAAAGCCAATGTTGCTGAAAACATAGACACAGAAGCTTTAGGACATAATCAAACTAAATATAAACGCCACAGGTGGTGGGATGTCTCCAAGGTACCTATACTAGAAACTTCAATTCAATTGAGTTTGTTTCTTAAAATATTATAGTTTGATCTATTTCCCCACTTTTGGCAGATAAAAGCAGTTCATTGGACTCGATATCTGTTACAATATACAGCTATCGAGGTCTTCTTTAGTAATTCAGTTGCACCTGTTTTTCTGAATTTTTCTTCCCCAAGAGATGCTAAACATGTAGGGACACTGCTGGTATCTTTGAGGAACGAGCTTTTATTCCCGAAAGGAAGCTACAGAGATAAGAATGAAATTATTTCTTTCATTGATAGACGTAAAGCAGTTGAGATGGCAGAAATTTTCAGAGAGAGTTGGAGAAGAAGTGAAATCACCAACTTTGAATATTTAATGGTTCTCAATACGCTTGCAGGGAGATCCTATAATGATTTGACACAGTATCCCATATTTCCTTGGGTGTTGGCTGATTATTCATCAGAGAAACTTGATTTCAACAAGTCATCTACTTTCAGAGACCTTTCAAAACCAGTTGGTGCTTTGGACCCGAAACGTTTTGAGGTAATTCTCTGTTCATAGTTGATTCTTCTGTTTATTTTGATCAGATATATATGGTAGCTTCTTTAGGCATGTTATCTGACACAAGTTTTGTTCATTTTGCAGGTGTTTGAGGATAGATATCGTAACTTTTGTGATCCTGATATTCCTAGGTAATCATAATATCTGTTTAGCACCTTGGTTATGCCATTCTTGGATTTATTTATTAATTAATTATTATATTAGTATTAGTATTTTATTTTATTTTATTTATTTTTTATTTTATGTATTTTTTATTTTTGGGCTCTTAGGTTTATATGATGTTTCAAAGATGGATTAACTCTGATATAGAGATTTATCTTCTTCTAAACTCTTTTGAGTTAAAGGATAAGTTTAGGGGTTCTTTGAGTGAGCTTAAAAGTCATTACTAGATAGGATTCTCTAGCTGTTTACTCAACAACTAGCTTTTATGGCAGCTTGTCAGTTGTTCCATGTCCATAGTTTCTTGGGCCACCTTGGCACCAGAAACTAGAGTCTGATCAGATTGACAGTGGATTGTCAATTTTCATTCCTCCCAATCTTTTATGTACCAGTCTATTAGAATTTTGTTCAATATCCTGCTCTTTTGAGGGCTAAAAGCTTAAATGATTATGATGACTTTCTCATGACTGTTCATATAAATTCTAATGGCTTTGGTTCCTCTGAATCTTGCAGCTTTTATTATGGATCTCACTACTCTAGCATGGGGATCGTGCTCTTTTACCTGCTTAGGTTAGAGCCTTTTACAGCTTTGCACCGTAACTTGCAGGTATTAAGATTGAATTTCTTTAGTTCAACTAAATTTAACTTAATATATTTTAATTCTGTGTTTTATAGATATATTCTGAACTTTATTTTAGTATATTCTATTCACCATATGTCGCCCTTCTTGGCCAGGGTGGAAAGTTTGACCATGCAGACCGCCTTTTTCAAAGCATCGAAGGCACATACCGCAACTGCCTCTCTAACACTAGTGACGTGAAGGAGCTCATTCCGGAGTTCTTTTACATGCCTGAATTTCTTTTGAACTCTAATTCTTATCACCTTGGAGTGAAACAGGATGGTGAACCATTAGGTGATGTTGCTCTCCCACCATGGGCAAAGGTATATGAGCTTGTTATTTAAATGGCAAGTTGCACTGTCACAAATATTACATGTTTCATCTTTGTTTTATAGTGTAGAATGTTTGTCGACTGTGACGCTCATGTTTTCACACGACTGCAGTCCAAGGTGAACTCAGAAATATCAAACCTGACATGCACTCACACTGTGCAATAATATGATTCACCATCACAGTAATATCTCTCTAGTGGAATCAACAAGTACAAAACAGGTAAAATAAGGAAAATAAATGCATTAGACATGATGTAGAAAGAGATATCTAATAAATATAATCATGTCTTAACTGAGTAAACTGAATACAACTGAAGTCTGAAATAAATGTGAAGTGTCTCAATATCAGTCAACTGAATATAAATTAAGACACAACCTTTACAAGATGAAATACAAAACTCTAAATGTCCGAAAGAAAATAACAACTATGGTGGAGTCTCGTCTACTAAAAATATGTGACGGCGATTATGCTGGAAATCTGTCATCTTGCGGCTCTCCGGAACTCTGAGTTGTTGCCTGAAAGGAATTAGAAAATAAAAAGAAAAACAACAAGCGCATCAAAGCGCTACAGGAAGATCATCTCCATCCGCCCCCAGGGAAAGGGTTATTAGAGGTAATGAAGGCTCTATCTATTAAGCATAGTCTACCTAGATCATTTATCCTGTATATAAATAAAATTAATATTTAGAAACCTATAACACGAGACGTAGTACGTCGAGCGAAATAATCCAAACAAGAAAACCCTCATGTATATATCATACGTCTCAAATTGTAGATAACTAAATATCAATACCGAACTAAGAATAAACAATTTAAATATAATTAATAATTAGAAACTCACAACACGAAACTGGTACGTCGAGCGAAATAATCCAAACAAGAAAACCCTCATGTATATACCATACGTCTCAAATTGTGAATCGCTAATTATCAATTCCAAACTAAGAATAAAGAAAAGTAATACAAGGAAGTAAAGTCATCATAATATCGGACTAAAAATATCTTCCACTGTCCCTTAGAAGATAATATAAACAACAGTATATAATCCTACGTACCCACAAGAGTAAAGTACATCGGTCATTTATAACTCAGCGATGAGTCATGTTCATAATGACGTCCATTAAGACTCGGGCTATTAGATAATTATCACAATGTAAATTCTTGCAAAGTTTATAATTCATCGCATTATCATGCGGGACGGATTACCAAATCAGCATCCTAATACTGTACATGGTTCATTAATCTCATCGCATCAACGTGCGGGACGGACTATAAAATCAGGCATCCTAGGTATACGGCTCACAAGCCCTCATCGCATCTCATGCGGGACGGATTACTAGATCAAGCATCCTAAAACCTGACTCAATGACCTGTACTAATGGTATATCGACGCAATATCCTAAGTAGTACTGAGCGATGCTCATCAACGATATCCATACATGTATATAATGTTTAAATAACTCGTATCTCTCATGTAATCGAAACAATAATTGTATTAATCCTCTTTGGGATACCAATGTGTGCTACGACACTATACGTGTATACTCATGATTGTACGTGTATCATCGTGCGCCTCAAACCCCGCGTTTGTAAATAAAATGTGTAAAAACAACACTTCAAATAAAAGAGAACACAGGTCGATCGACCATCCTTAGGGCGTCGGTTGACCGAAAGCAACCGTGCACACAATGTGCACGCTCAGGGTCTCACCGGTCGACCGGCTAATCTTGGCGGCCAGAGAGGAAAACGTAAGTTCAGGTTTCTGATGTTTTGTATTTTATAACTTTATTTAAAAACTTATTTTTATCAATATGAGGCATATAACAAGATTAAATCTTTCATAATTACTTAACAGGAATTAACTCATCATGATATAAACACTTGAATTAAACTAATTAGGGTTTAACATCCTAATAAATCAAAATTTCTCAAATAACCTAATTTATAAATATGGTTAAGTAAACATGATAAATTCTAAACACTGAACAGAGATAAATTCGTTTAAACATGCTCACATTACTTAGGTATCATCAACCTAGGGTTTAGACCTATTTAATTAGCAAGAAAACTCAAATAATTATTAAACTAAGGTTTAAACATAATTTAAGCATGATTAACAAGTTAAAAACGAAATTAAATACAACCCTAATGATCATGATCATCAAACTAATATAAACAACTAAAACTATAGATTTTCACATTTGTTTAAAGATTAACATCATAAACTGAGATTTTAAAACATCGAGTTAAGCTTAAACATGAAATTCATCAATTAAACATATTAAATTTTGAATTAACTACAAGGAAAGGTTTGGAGGAAGATGATCTTACCTAAACGTCGTGTTAAACTCTTGAACACGTGCGTGCAAGATCCCTCTTCACCAAAGTTGCAAAATCCCGCCTTCCTCTCGACAAACGCCTCAAGAACTCTCCCAAAATCTCACAAATTATAATTAGGGTTTGAGAGAGAGGAAAATGGGCTACTATGGTTTGGAATACTGATGAAAAGATGTGTTTTTCGTTTGTAAACATGTATATATATAACTGCAAACCCGAATCAAAACAGCCCAAACCCGAAACAGGAAACCTAGTCGAACTGGGAAACTAGTCTTCGGTATTTTGGCTGTAACTTTCACTTACGACCTCGAAATGAGGTGATTTAAGGTGCGTTGGAAAGCTATTGAAGATACCTACAACTTTTGTCTTTTCAGTTTTTCCAAAATAGAACTGTATCGGTGTGTAATGCAGATATACTCTTAACTGGTCATTTTTTCAGATTTCTTCTTTGTGCATGTTTAACCTTTGTATACTCTCATATATACTCTTAATTGATCTCAAATCAATTGTTAACATAATCATTCATCCATAAATGATATTCATCATAATTAGAGCTCATTTATCAATATAATTCACACTATTTTCCAAAATTCATGGGGTTTTACATCGACCAACTGGGATGCCTAAATATGGCACATTTCTTATGTTGATTCTACTGATACTCACTTTGTTTAAAAGCTCAAGCTAATGAATTCTGGGTCAACAATGTGTATGATGCACTCTTAATACACCTCATGGGGCATTCAGCAAAGTGGAGGGCCTCTAGACAAACTATAACTCATGGTACTTAAAGTGTACAGGTTTCAGGATATAATGCAAGACCTTTGTCAATGATATTCTCTTGAACCTTGTCAATTTAAAGATCTCTAATTTGTGACAGCCTAATCAAGCAATGTAATCATGTTTCTCAACCATTTATATATGACATTATCGGCTTAATCAAGCAGTCTAATCACTGTTTCCTCAATGATGACAATATTAGGTCTTTCCATATCTCAAGTCTAGACAAGCTTGTATCGGAATTTCTGTTCTTTTGGTGTAAGTAAATCCCTTTGATGATTTGCCCTAACAAATACTGAGATTAAAATGTTATGGATAGGGTTCACCTGAAGAATTTGTTAACAAAAATCGAGAAGCACTGGAGAGTGAGTATGTCAGTTCCAATCTCCATAACTGGATAGATTTAGTGTTTGGTTACAAGCAGCGTGGAAAATCAGCAGTAGAGGTATGATTCTATGTACACAGTTAATAGTTGTCAGTTGTCATGGGATGTTCAGTTCACTAATTATGAACACTGATATTGCAACAGGCGGCGAACGTATTTTATTACTTGACCTATGAAGGTGCCGTTGACTTGGAGAGTATGGACGATGCATTGCAAAGATCTGCAATTGAGGACCAGATTGCAAATTTTGGGCAGACACCTATTCAGCTTTTTCGTAAAAAACATCCAAGAAGAGGGCCTCCAAATCCTCTTGCTCATCCTTTATATTTTGCTCCTGCATCAATCCAGTTGTCTTCTATCACTTGTAACATTTTCAGCCCTCCATCTGCTGTACTATTTGTGGGTGTATTGGACTCGAATATAGTGGTCGTGAGTCAAGGCCTCACTATATGTGTGAAATCCTGGTTGACTACTCAATTACAATCTGGTGGAAACTTCACATTTTCAGGATCCCAGGTCTGTTAATGGATCGGTAAACTACTCCATCAGTTTTATCTATGATGATTTGTGTTTACATAAATCATAGAAAGCATTGTTTCTGCTATCAGGAGTAATGTTAATATTCAAATGATGTCTGCTATTTTCTTATGTAGTTACCCCATATTTGTTCAGGAACCATTTTTTGGGATAGGTGCCGATGTCCTCAACCCCCGTAAAATTGGTACTTCCTTTGTGGATAGCATTGAGTTTGGAAGACAGTGTTTGGCAACAATGCAATCTCTTGGTGAAAATTATCTGATCTTGTGTGGCAATTGGGAAAATAGCTTCCAGGTAATATCTCTAAATGACGGACGGGTGGTACAAAGCATTCGGCAGCACAAAGATTTGGTCAGCTGTGTGGCAGGTATTCTTGTTGCTCAGAAACCTATTCTTTCATAATTTCATTTTTATTTAACATTAGCCCAAATCCCCCCCTGGATCCCTGTCCAGACTGAGGGATTTCTATTATTTATAAATAAAAGGGTTAGATAGGACCAAAAGGTAATCTCACTTACTGTTTTCCAAGAGAAAGGATGCCCCCTCTACCTTACCATCAGCATCAACTATGATCTCTTAAGAAAGAGCTGCTGGCAAAAGGAATTAACTTTTCCTGCTAAAAACAGCAAATTAAGGAAAGGATCAGCTAGCTCAATGAAAGATGTGATTCATGTATTGTTCCGGGATTCCAATCCTATTTCACATGGATCCTCTGCCGCCTTAGAAAATCTGTCTACTTACCATCAATCAGTTTCTTTGCTTAATAAGTCCTATCTCTGATACCTTTCCCTTCAAGGAGATGCATTTATTATGCATCAAGACTCTTGCATATCTTTGAGCCCCATTAGTATTAATTTTTTGGTTATGGAACTTCTTTTTTTGGGAAGTCTTGGTCACCTGAGTTCACCTTCTCTATTGTTAGTGTTAATATATTCATAGTTTGTTTTTAAGGCTTCTCATTCTGAGCAAATCTGGTGCACTTGGTTGTTGTTCTTCATTTGACATTCTCTTCCCCTCTATATACCAACCCAACACCCACCCCCCCACCCAAAAAAAACAAAAATAAAAAACCCAAAGAAAAAAATTCACCTTTTATTTAACAGATTTTGTTGTTTGTAAAGTCTTCAGACACAGTTGAAGCAGTCAAAAACTTTTGGAGGTTACTGATGGTGATTTTCACAACTTTGACAATCAAACAAGTGAAGCATAATTAGGTTTAGCAACCAAATCAGGTGAGCATAATTCTAGTGTCTCCATAGGTGCTGTTCACAGAGATCTGGGAGT